TCTGCCCTTGCGCTATGCTACTCTGCTGCTGAGTATGCATGCCCAGTGTGGAACACATCTCACCACATTAAACAGGGGATGTGGCTCTTAATGAGACATGCTGCATTATCACAGGGTGTCTGGAGAAATTCCACTGTTTACCCAGCATTGCACCACCTGACATCTGCTGGGAAGTAGCAGCCAATAGTGAAAGGACCAAGGCAGTGACCTCTCCAACCCATCCCTTGTTTGGGTATCAGCCAGCACGTCAACGACTTAAATCAAGAAATAGTTTTCTAAGATCTACAGAGACACTCGCTGGAACACCTCGGCAAGCGAGAGTCCAAAAGTGGCAGGCTCAAACCCAGCACCTCAATCAATGGCTGACACCAAATGAGAGACTCCCCCCTGGACACACAGAAGACTTGGAAGGTGCTGAACAGACTGCGCTCTGGCACCACGAGATGCAGAGCCAACTTTCAGAAATGGGGCCACAAAGTGGAATCCTCGACATGCGAGTGTGGAGAAGAGCAAACCACTGACCACCTGCTGCAATGCAACCTGAGCCCTGCCACATGCACAATGGAGGACCTTCTCATGGCAACACCAGAAGCACTCCAAGGGGCCAGATACTGGTCAAAGGACATTTAATCAACTACCAAGTTTGTAAAATTTGTGGGTTTTTTTATCTGTTTGTTTGTTTTGTTCTGTTAGAAATGTAATACAATGGTCTGGTTGCTGATGACACGATAAATAAATATCCCTTTTATGCTGGGCACATGACCTTGGAGGTGTCTATGGACAACACTGGCTCTTTGCTTTCAGATAGCCACTGGTCTTGGAAAGTTTATGGGGAGAGATATGGGGATTTTACTATATCTTGGTGAGCGGGCAACTTACCTGTCCGCAGAGCCCCAGGTGTTTTTGCGTGGGCTCTAAGGAGAACATGAGATCCCCGCATTGTCCCCACAGGGCCTCCATCTCTTCCGGGTGGTCCTTGAACGCCTGGCTCTTCCACACCAACTGCTTCAGCTTCTCCTATGGGCAAAAAAGGCCAAGAAGACTTATCGGAGTGATACAGACAAAGGGCATCATGGCTGGAGAAGGGCCATCATCATGGTCTGGGATTCAATCAGCTGATTTTAGGATTCAATCAGCTGATCAGTCAAATGATCAATTAGAATAGGGTTGGACTAGATGGCCTTTGGGGTCTCTTCCAATTTTAGGATTCTAACCCTTCAGCCAATGAGACAAGTTAATAGGAACGGTCCTCTCTCCGTTCAGGCCTCCCATTATGCAGATGACTTTGAGCTCTCACCTTGGGAAGGTTGGGGACAAATTTGGTGTCCCCAAAGGACTTGTAGTTGCCCATGTTGGCGTAGACGGCAGCAGCATAAACCAGGAAGGCCTGCAAGAGACAAGGCTCTTAATCAAGGTGTCGACCATAGACATTGGAATAAATACGTCTCCAAAACTATCACCATCCCCATCACGATCATAACAAACAACGAGTTCCATGATTACGTGGCTCTTTCTTCTGCTAAACATTGGAAATCTTACTTAGGCGATCTTATTTACTTACTTAGGCAATCCCTTGTAGTCCGAGGATGATGGTCCTCCAAGTGTAGTATCCTGGAGGTAGGACCATAGGTGACTGTGGAGCCCTCTTCTTGACCTGCATCTTCTCCCACAGTGAGGGCATCGGTTTCCAGGTAGAAGGCGGTTCCGGTCAGGGTTGGCTTTCTGTGCCTTCCTCTTGGCACGTTTCTCTCTTTCGCCCTCCATTTGTGCCTCTTCAAATTCTGCAGCACTGCTGGTCACAGCTGACCTCCAGCTGGAGCGGTCAAGGGCGCGTCAAGCCAACCTTCCACCTGGAAACCGATGCCCTCACTGCGGGAGAAGATCAACAATAGGGCTCCACAGTCACCTACAGTCCCACCACCAGGATACTATGCTTGGAGGACCATCATCCTCGGACTACGAGGGATCGTGTAACTAACTAACAAATGACTTGCTCAATGGGGAACCCCTCTTGGGCTAGAACCCTCGGCCTCCAACCTACCACACTTCCCCGCTGCTGGGTAGAGCGACTGTCCCACTTGGAGGACCATCATCCTTGGACTACGAGGGATCGCCTAAGTAAGTAAGTACGTGGGGATGCTAATTTAACTAATTTATGACACCATAAAACCTTCCAGTAGCGTGCAGAAGAATGAGGAAGTACTCAATCAAAGGACTCAGCATCACATCCCCTCGGCTGTGGAACGCCCTTCCCATGGACATTAGATCAGCTCCTACGTTAATGGTGTTTCGAAGAAAACTAAAAACCTGGCTGTTTGAACAGGCATTCGGATAAACAGTGCAATGAATACGATGAATATAGGAACGGAATTATAGACGACGAATTGGATCACGATTCTAGTTACGAGACGTTAATGTGTTGTTATTGATGTGTCATTACTTTGTATATTATGCTCTTAATGGTTTTTAAATTGTATATTGTTATGATTGTCTTTTTGCTCTTGTTGTGAACCGCGTTGAGTCGCCTACGGGCTGAGAAACTGCGGTATACA